CACCCTTACCCGTCCCTAACCTAATTTGACCAGTCCTTAATTGTAACAGTACCCATTCCTAACATAACTTTCCTTAACATAAGGCAGATCAAAAGACTGGGTGTTACCAAGAAAAGAATAACCATCGATATAAGGCAATTGTCTAATCAGTAGTCAAGTCCAGAGCGGTTTGGTTTTGCATTACAAACATTGGGTTAAACAACAAAATCAGGCTAGTTTGGGTTTGGGTAGACCCTGTTGTGCAAATTGATTAAGGAATGTTCAATGAGGACAACTATCAGCCTTGAACCCTTTTGCGGCATACTTCACTCCCCAAAATGAAGATCCAACAATGGATTCAGAATGAGTTGGTCTAATAGGAATTCCAAAAAAGAGACATGGGAGAAAGTTTATCAACAGACCACAGATTGGACCGGGGTAGTCAAGTGGTTAGCGTGATAGTCTCTCGGCTCGTAGATCCTCTGTCGTGGGTTCGAATCCCACCGTCGTCGCCGGTGGCCTTTTTTTTCAAGCTACCCTTCCCCCACAACTATGTATGTACGATGAAGCCATCAACGGAATTGTACTCTGGGTTATATGTAAGTTCTTAAAGCCATAAAAATAAATAATAATTAATTTAAAAACAAATTAAAAATAAGACTTATTAAGATTATTTCCTAAATTTGTACGCAGACTGATTCGTACTCCTGGAATAATCAAAGGCTATATAAATATGCATATTTATATTTATGTACTATATATATTCGATTTTTTCAGAACAAACACACTTAAGGACACTAGTGTTAAGAAGTAGGAAGACATTCAAATGTAAATTGAATTGCATTATTTGTAATGAACGTAATTTCTTTTCCGCCATTAACACAAATAAACGAACCTTAAATAATCAAATGAAAAAGAAACACAAGCCGTTGAATTTTAATGACGTCTATTGGAAAGCGACTTTCTGCAAGCCTTCTGGATCAAACGAAAAACGATCTTTCCCTCAAAGTATTAATTGTACTAAGGAATTTCTAATTTTACAGTTCAAATTATTTTTATCTATTGCATAAAATGTATGTGTTTTTATTACTTAAAACAACAATAAGTTAATAACAACACACAATAAGCGATAAAGGGTATTTTGGAAAGAATTTTTATGGTAGGTATCTTCCCTATAAGCCAGGATCAGGCCGTCAGGTTTGTAGGTTTCGGTACGCTTTGACTAGATCGATTTTTGGTGATAATACAGCAGTGTCTACTGCTCTAAAGTACGTGTAGATCAGAGGGAGTGTGTAGAAGCTAGGATGCCATTGAGTTTCCAGAGCAAACCCAGGTGTCAGATAGCTGTTCGATGTTGACGATACAGCCAAGCTGTACACACTCCATCTTCTCAAGGCATGATGCGTTGATAAAACACGATAGCACTGTTGAACAGTACCTAAATTCAAATTGATGGTCTGAGATCATATTATAATAATACAATATAACGATGGAGGTATTTTTGGTTGGATAATAGAATAGCAATCATCAGAGATGTCAAGATTGGAAGGGATATTGTAGCAGTATATACTGAACTACTCCTGCTGTTCTATAGGTCCTGGCGCGCGGGTCCACCTTGTACAAAAAAGAGTGATAGGATCCGACACATTCTTTGCCAGGTAGGAATTAAAATTGAGGAAGTATTTATTGGCTAGGATATTTTGAGTTTTCAGAGTAAATCCGGGTGCCAGATTCGATCGCAAGCTTCTTCGAATTCGAGCTCGACCTCCGTGCAGCACTACTTCTTCCAGAGAGAAGATGCAATACTAACCATAATACGATTTAATGTTGCTATAGCGATGCCACTAGTAAATATGAGGATCGCAGTGTCAGAAGGAGAAGGGATATCGGCAGTGTATATTGTAAAACAACAGACCCAAGACCGTACCTTTTGTATGACCTTGTAGCAGTTTTCTTTCTTTTAGTCAGAAGATAGCATTCTAAGTTATAGGTGTGTCCGATAATCTGTAAGGGGTCAGGTTTACAGAATAGAATGTCAGTGTACATGGAGTACAGTAAGGGACCGAGGACGCCACCCTGAGGGACGCCAACATCTTGTACAAAAGAGAAGAAAAGGATCCAACCCAAACTCTAATGTTTTAGCCAGGTCAGACTTACGGATGAGGAATTGTGTAGAAGTACCTTGAGTTTCCAGAAAAACTTAGATGCCAGACTTGATCGAAAGCCTGGTCGACCTCCAAGCAACATTCCAGCTTCTAGACTTCTTGACATACATTTGTTGGCGGATAGCGTTTTCGTTAGGAAGGTTGTGATGTCATAAGCGATTGGAGGGTGATGTAACGGAGGGGGAGGTTTATGTTAGGCTGAGAGACACGTCTTGTACGAAGGAGAGTTGAGAAGACCAGACCCAAAGTCTAAGGTATCAGCCAGGTAGGACGTGAGCATGAAGAAGTGTGTAGAGGCTAGTATGCTTATGGTTTCCTCGAGTTCGACATAGATAAAGGCCTGTGAGCAACATTTCTTCTTCAAGGAGGATGCAACGCATGGCACTGTTGAACACTGTTTTTATTTGGTCAACGAAGATGATTCATTGAGTTTCTTTTGTAATCATTTTAAAAGCTTTAAAGGCATTTGTTCACAGAACAACTGCCAAATACCGGGGGAAAATTTGATTCTTACACATCAGTAATGAAATGGCAAATATTAATTTATTTTATTTTTGAATATTGACAACAAAGGAAAAATCATCTAATTAAGGACACGTCAGTGAATGAATGCGCAAGATTATTTTTTGAATCACGGACATTGAGCTTAATACGTGACATTTTCCCGCCCTTTTTTCTTTTTGGATAAACGTCGTCGGGATATTTTTTCCGTTATTCGATATTTTACTTTCAGCTTGAATTTTGATTCCGGCTTTTGTCTCATCCCAACCCTCCACCAGACCCACAAACCCTTGGTCCATACAAAAGTCACTCGTCAAACCTCGTTTATTTAAAGTAAACAAAAGGCTATGCTTTACTAACTTTAAAAAGGACTTTTTTTCTCCCCGACGCCACCACATTTATGAAATGTATAAAGATCGTTTTTTTGGCTTTGCATCTCAAATAAGGGTGTTATGTTGCTTTTCAGAAGGAGAAGAAACAAAGGGAAGTATTATTGGAGAAAAATTATGTGAAACATATTTATGAATTACGGATGGCAAATCATACTTCTTGATCTGACCAACACAAAAATAAAAAAAATACAAAAGCATTATAAAAATAAAAGGAAATGAACTCCAAATTTACCCGCATTTATTGAAAAAAGGCTCGGTTTGAAAATTAGGCTATCACCCTATCCCTGATTGATTCCATAAATATAATTATAAAAAATAAAGAAATATGAGTAATAAAGAAAGAAATTTTAGTGCCATCTGGCTGTCCGAGTAGATGGCCATTATTTTCTTGTTAATGTCGTTTTTGGTTTTTCCTCTACCAGAAGTTAGAATGAGTCTGTATACCATCAAAAGAAATATTCCAAAGGTTGCCCTTCTTCCTTGCAATATCTATATATATTCGTTCCTGCTGCTCCGAGTACATATGCCTCCGGAGTATTTAGCCGAAGATCGTGGGTTCGAATCCCGCTCGTGACACTGATTTTTTTTATCTCAACCAAGACCTTACATAAAAAGAATAATTAATTTAAAGAAGTAACTTGGTCAATTGACCACAAAAACAAAAATTGTTTGATTATAAATTCAAAAGACACAATATTTTACATGGACAATTACATGTAGCCCTGCCGGGGTGTCCGGCAAAGATTGATCCCCTTAGTCTGCGGAAACAAACCATGATTAGCTTATAAGTCTTGGGCAATATGCGACTGTCTTTAAGTCAGTACTTCACTTGGGAAGAAAGAGCTGTCCTGAAAGGGCTAAGTTAGAGGGCTCAGAATCTTGTCCGCCTGAAGTTCCTCCCGAACTCGTTTTTATGCGAATTGGCTGTTAGAGTCTTTCTTTGTTTTATTTTGTGTATTGTGGCTGTTGAGTCACCCTGGACGAACATGTGGTAGTCGATTCAGGATGTAATTAATTTTCAAATATTCAAAGATTACAATCGCATGATTTTATTTCACGTTTTTTACGCCTTTGTATGAAGATAGATAGAAAGGATCGGAAACGTCTTCCTTACTCTGCAGACCCCAAGAGGAAAACTCGCAGGAAACATTTTTCTTGGAATAAAACACTCTTTTTTTATTTATTCCCGGTATAATTTTAGTAATTGACCCTAGCTTTTTTATTGAATATAAAATTGAATAGTACGCGCTGTATAAATTCATGTCCATTCCATGTAAAATTTCAAATAAAAAAGCAAGGAATTGTTTCAGCTTAATTGATGCGAGTAAAGGCTGTTAGAACTCGGAATTTTATTTTATTTAATATTGAAAACGTAAAACAATGGGTCATAATTTCGTTTGTCACTTTGATTTTGATAATGAGATGAACTAATTATCGATTTCATACTTACTTCCGTTTGACTTGCCCTTTTCATCGGGCGCCTTACCAAAGGCTTCGGTTCTATCAATTTATAAATCGAGTTTATCATTGTCTCAGGGCCGAAGTCCCCCTCCTCGCCATCAAGTTGAAGGAACAGTCCATAACGGATTTATCATTTACCCTGCTGGATAAACAGTTACAATAGACCTTTGAAAATGTTTACCAAAATAGTCCACCTAAAAATTCCAGATAGGATATCGCTCTGGATTTTGAGAAAAGATCCAAATAAAATCAATCTTGTATCCAGGGAAGTGCATTTGATTATATGAAAGACCACTTCAATCGTTCCTATCTATTTGTCATTAAATCGTTTACAATAATATCGAGACAGTTACACTCGTCAGTTGACACTCTGTATATATTTTGTACCGTAGGTGAGGACGGTTGGCGCTTTGATGGTTTGCCCATCGATTCGAATCACGGGTGGCGACCGCATATTGAGCGATCCCTTGAGCATCATTAGCTCAGTCTTTTCAGGAGCCAAATGCAGTTTGACTTCTTACACCACCCGCTCAGGACAGCCACCGTCGTACGACCCTCTATCCACGTAAGCAATCGCATTGAGACCCGCGCTCTCCAGCTCTCTCAGGACCTCGTCAAAAAGGACGGCCCACAGGAACGGACTGAGCACGGAGCCTTGCGGTATCCCCATCTCGCCCGCCCTGTAACAGTCCGGTCCGTAGTTACCCACGAAGTTGCACAAGTCGTTGCCGATACAGCGATCAATAAGGCTGTTCAAGACAGCCGGCCACCACATGCGGTCGAAGGCCTTCCGCCCGTCAAAAAATACCCCGACCACGTATATGGAGGTCGACACACGATCGGCACTCGAACGGATAGCATGGGTTGTGCCACACACCGGCATGCCACCGTACTGTCCCGGGTGCAAGCCCGGATGAAGGGCACATCGGAGTCTTGCCAGAAAAAGTGCTCAAGCGATTTTCCCAAGACCGACAGAAGGGAGTTCTGCCGGTCTTCAGGAATGCACAGACTAGCGCCTTCTTCCACGCCGAGGGAAAGTACCCTGCTCTCAAGCAATCGAACTGAGTGTACTGTGAGTACCTGAGTACTGTGCCACCACGTCAGCACACATCTTGACAAGTGCCGCCTCCACACGGTCGACACCGGGCTCAAGGCCCGTCCTCAGGTCACTAATTGCATCGGTCACTTCTTCTTCCGTCCATGGGTCAGTTAGCCAATCTACCGCAATCCTACTCGCCTTAGCTCGAGCGATCGCCAGCCCCTTGGCTTTATCGATTCCTCGTCTCCACGGCTCTTGGACAAGCAGGATATGAACTTCCTGCTGGTGGGCCAAGGTAGGCACTTGACTAACGACCTCCTCAGACCGATGGCAATTGATCTGGGCAAGTTCAGTTCTTGTATTGGGCGGCTTGAGTCAGCCATTGCTCAGCCAATAGTGTAGTGCCCTCTGCGATGTCTGCGTTCATAGCCCCAAGGTCTACAGTTTGCTTGCTCTGATCAGTTGGGCTTTTTTGGACCGCACTAGTGCCCGCTGTTTCCCCTTGATCTGTAGCATACCAGGCTCTAGCTATGGCTCGTGCATGGGCCTCACATTGCTGGGACCCTGTGTAATGGTTGCTATTTTTGCCTGTCCGGTGGCAATGGACACATTTGGTCGTTTCGCGCTTGCATTGTCGTGTATTTTGGGCGTCAGCGTAAATGCCACAGACCGGTTTTTTAGGACATGCCGCCGCCACATGCCCATACAGCTGACAATTGTAGCAGGTGACGCCTGATTCGCCATTTCCCAAGCCCAATCCAGGCTATCATTTGTAGAGAGATATTCCAAAAGGTCCTCCGGCTTATTTTCTTTAGGCACGCACAACTGAAGTATTCGTGTGTTTCGTTTTCCAGGTGTTGGCACGCTCAGGCCAGCTTGACCGAGTGCCTTGTTTGCCAAGATGGGCAAATCCCCAAGTACCCCGAGGAATATCGAGTACTCTGGGGTTGTATGAATGAATGTGTGGACGTAATTTATCACCGTAAATTGAGGGGCATATCCCCATTTAGCCAGAAGATTTTTGAATACTTTGGGGTAGCGTGAATGAAGTTTGGTATAGGAATGTAATTTATTAGCGTGAATGAAGAAGCAAATTCCCAAGTACCGGGGTACTTGGGAAACCCCGAGGAATATCGAGTGTTCTGCGGTAGTTTGAATGATCAGAGATTGAATCTTTATCTAGTTTCCGTGTTTCTGTATATTTGTGTTATTTTATCCACAATTGCCTAGGTTCTGTGACACAAAACGGCTAACAAGATAAAGAAAAGCGAGAGTTTGTTACCGTTATATCATAAAACATCATAACATGGCTCGAGAAACAGTAAAAAAAATTAGTAGGTTTAAAACGCGAGAAAGATAAGAAAATACAGTAAATGAAAAGTTAAGAATGAGAGGCTGGTGTTGACCAATGAAGTTACTAAACCAAATAAAAAAACGGCCCTACCACTAAATAAAACAACAAAATTGTCCTCCTATTAAGCTAAACTGCATTTAGTAAAATAACGAGATATAGATAACTCATTGAATGAGCCAAACCCAAAACTGATTCGAGCCTTGGATTAGTTGGGTGCCAATCTGAAACCTATCACTCCCCATTGCTGTATTATCCCAACCGTTACATTGTTCCCCCCCCCCGCGAAAGAGGTAGCATAACAACCAGAGAAATAAGATTATTCAAATCGCCCCCTTATTTCCGACTTGTTCCTCACATAACTTGTTGAAATTCTTCGAATATATTTTCCTTGATTTAATAGTTTATCTTTTTAGTCTGCCGTTACAATTTTACAAGTGACTGTTGTACAGTAGTATATCAATTATAGCGTAATCTCAATTTGAAAAAAAAATCACCCAAAATTCTACACATTTTAACAGTTTCCCCTTTATTTAATTAACTCTGTAAAACCTTAATTAATTCAAGTGAGCCAGTATAATTGTACTGGCAGGCGTGTTCTTTACATTTATCGAACTGTTTCCACTCCCCTTGTGACCGGTGGAACAATGGCATGTGAGCCGAACTCAAGGGCACTGTATTCGTCGCTTAACTTGAAGACCCACCCTCTGCCCCGTTAATTAACCCTTTGGGTCCCCCATTGCAGGGCGTTCGACACCGAGACAATAAGCCGTACGACAAAAACCACTGACGCCAATAATGGCCAGGGATGGACAATGTAATTACCATAAAAACAAATCCGGTTCTTTTCGATAGGGTAATTTACCAACTGAGCGACTCAAATTGCCCCTAGTAAAAGCAGAAAAAGTAATTATTTCACTTTATGTAAGGTATTGGTTGAAATGAAAAAATTAGTGTCACGAGTGGGATTCGAACCCACGACATGTTCGGCGACGAATGAAATGGCCACGGAGAGACGGAGAGCTTTAATGAAGATATTCTTTATATTAAATCCATTATATTTCGTGGTCCGATTGACCAAACAACGTCTTTCAATTAATTAATCTTTACGTAAGGTATTGGTTGCAATGAAAAAGTTAATGTCACGACCGATATTCGAACCCACGACCTTCGGCTAAATAAGCCGCTGCTCTACCACTTCAGCTATGACTTCGATCCTCTCGGACACTAACTCCCCATCTCAACTTACAACCGGTCGGATTTTTTCTCTTTTTGCCATTTTTCAAATGTCGTGTGAGCTGTTAGTGTAGTGATACTTCTTTTACTTATTAAATATTAATCCATTTATATTTTAGTGGTCAATTGACCAAGTTACTTCTTTCAATTAATTATTCGTTTTATCTAAGGTCTTGGTTAAGATAAAAAACCCACTCGCAACACCGAAATTTTTATCTCAACCAAGACCTTACATAAAACGAATAATTAATTGAAAGAAGTAACTTGGTCAATTGACCACTAAAATATAAATGGATTAATATTTAATAAGTAAAAGAAGTATCACTACACTAACGGCTCCACGACAATTGAAAAATGGCAAAAAGACGAAAAATCCTATCATGACTTCGATTCACTTCAACCAGATGTACATGAAGTTCCCTTTTGGGGTCGCATCGTCCTGAGAAAGACGTGAAGACGTTCCCTTTATCGTCCGCACCTGGCACAAGGCCTTATCAGACGTTTGTTTCTCAAGGTGGGAGGCGACGCACCTCTGCTCATGGGCGGTTAGTGGCATGCTCGCGAGCTTGGTTTAGACAAACCGTCCAGGCCCCTAGGGACCCAAACGGCTATCTTCCCCACTTGCCCCGTCCGAGGGGGTGGGTCAGCCAAACAATGCATCTGACCGTGTGCCGCACAGCGCTTGTTTCGAGGGCCGAAAGAATTCGATCCGAACTTCCGCCGTACTCCCGTAGATAGAGAAGGCGACTCTATCTCCCCCGAGTGGAGGGGTCCCCTAGCGTAGGGACTTCCGGAGCGTTCCGACGACGGCTTTGGTTTTAAGTGGAAATGCCAACCACCCCCAGATGAGTGCGGCTACCCAGTGTATGTGCTCCGATTACCAGAACAACAGATAGCCGTCTCTCTCTCCGAGTACCCGCCAGGGGTCTCACCACGTATCACTACGAATCCAAACCGCAATTGCAAGCATTTGGGCTGGAAAGATGCTTGCGCCCGTAGTTCAGTTGATCCGGCTCCATCCTCCAACCTTACGGAAGGGATCCTGTTTACCAGTCCATATGTGAGACTGATGACACACCCGCCGTTATGATTGCCGCGCATGATCGTTTGACCGTACACGCAACCAGATGGACAGTTGGTGTCCGAGTGGATGGAAGTCACTATAGTTCAAGTGGTAGAGCAGCGGCGTATTTAGACGAAGGACGCGGGTTCGAATCCCGCTCGTGACACTAACGTTGCCATTTCAAACAATACCTTACATAAAGATTAATTAATTGAAAGAAGTTATTTGGTTAATCGGACCACGAAATATAATGGATGTAATTATTACATTTATTTGCTACATTACAATTAATTAAGGTTTTTAGTTGAGATAAAAAAGTCAATGGCACGAGCGGGTCGAATTGAAAAATGGCAAAAAGGAGGGAAAATTCAAAAGGTGCGGTTGAGATGGGAAGTTGGTGTCCGAGTGGATCGAGGTCACGATAAGTCAAGTGGTAGAGCAGTGGCGTATAAAGCCGAAGATCGTGGGTTCGAATCCCGCTCGTGCCATGATTGGAGGATGTAATATATTAATTGGTCAAGCGGACCACGAAATTAGTGAATTTATTTACTACTGTAAATCTGAATGAAGGATAAACCGTTAACAAAAAACACATAATGGGGGTATTCACGATCTTTGTGTTAACTCTGTTAGGTCGTGTTAGATCGAGAAAAATGATGACGGAGACTTGTCAGAATCGGCTAGTTAACATTGCTTGATCTAACAGGGTAAGGTCAATGTTAGATGTTAAGCCGTATGGAATAGCGGTGTCATCACATTGCTAGCTTTTAGGACGTAGATAACCAACATAGCAGCAATGAATTTAACAGCTGTTTTTCGTTTACCCGTATTTTTATTCTTAAATACGCATTAATTAAATCAGACCAATACATTTCTTTTGCTGACCTTATACTGTATTCATAGTAGATACATCCACCTATCATATAAAGTAGTAAGTAGACTGTTAGCCGTTAGGATACAAGTTAGGTATGTCGGCACAAAATGTAGCGTGTCATTTGGTATACTTTTCGAGTGCATAGATAGCATTTTGAATGAAAGAGTTGATTAATTTTCCTTTTTTATTAACTTCTGGTATCTTCCAATTTAACACAAAACAAACAACAACAAGCCTTTAACGACTGTTATAGCTTTATTTTTGGTTCTACCAATCGCCAAGCGCATTATTGAGGAAAAATTAACGTTTAACATGCTAAGAAAAGAAAGGTGCTTTCACGATTTCACTGGACATTTCTCTATGCGATTAACACCTGTTAACATCTTACAAACATCGTGAACCCTTAATATTGTCAAACACGATACTTCTATGAGGTTAATAAGATTTTAATCCTTGCATTTAAATTAAGTACAA